GAGAGAGAGAGAGAGAGAGAGAGAGAGAGAGAGAGAGAGAGAAAGCACGCACCAAAATGGTAGAGGAGGGCACTCGAGCCATTCGAATTATTGCGCGACCTTATTGTTACAGACAAATTGATAATATAATTCACGGTATGAAAAAACCGGATTACGAAAAGCTTTTGTGACGGCTTATACGTTTCCTCTTAAATTTAATAAGTGATTAGATGATTTGGAATTATGCGAAGCTTGAAAATGGAATTTTGGTGGCAAAAGTTTGTTGCAATCCTTCAGGGTCCCTGTTTTTATTAGGATTTTTGATCTCGGCGATTGGAAATAGAATGTCCTGACGTGGATTACTCATTTGCAAGGCACCGAGATGTATTTGATAACATGTATCATCTATGGCATCAAATAGGATGCCATCAAATAGGACATTGCTTCTTTGGAAAATAGCTCCTGTCTTGTATAGCTTCCTGCAATTATTCTCCGGAATTTCTTGAATATGTTCATGTTTCTCATTCGATACCGTAGAGTGGATTCCAGAATAATAAATTGAGCTGTCAAACTCAATTCTGCATTGGATGATCTTGACGTAGTTGAATTCATTTAGTTGCAACAATTAAATGTAAGTCTTCTCTTTTTTGGGTTCCAAGTCTTCAACATACCCAGTAAACATAAAATATCATCGATGTTATAATGTCAGCTCAATCATATGGTATATTACGTAACTGTTACTTTGTTATATAATCAAGTTATATATAACAATTACGTAACATACTATATGTTTGAACTGACATTGTAATATAAATAATAATTTGCTATGTAGCAATCTGCGATATCAGTTAAAGAGAAGGAAGTTATATTTAATTTGTCTCCTTTGCAGTCATAGCCAATCAAGTTAAACACAGCTGTGTATTGGCCAGGAAGGCTGTAGCGAAGAGAATAATAATGACTCGGTGCATCCTAGTGCGAGCTTCAACGTGAAATGTGCGGATTGGTGCAGAATGAAGAGATTTCTTAGGCTGAATTTTACCCTATAGGCGTAGTGGGGCGCTCTTAACTATTGAAAGTGACAGAATCGTTCGGAGACTCTTCATTTTTAACTTATCCGCACATAAGACAGGATGCCATCAAATAGAATATTGTTTCCTAGAAAAATGGCTCCTGTCTTGTATAGTTTCCTGTAGTTATCCTCCAGAATTCTTTGAATATATTCATGCTTTCTGTTCGATACCGCAGAAATATGAGAGTGGATTCTAAAATAATTAATTGAGCTGACGATTTGAATTCTGCATTGGATGGCCTCGACGTAGTTAAATTCATTTAGTTGCAAATTGCTTTCAAGTCTTTTCCGCTTTGGGTTCCAAGTCTTCAACACGGCAATCTATGATATCCGTTAAGAAGAGGGAAATTATATTTAATCTATTCCCTCCGCAGTCATAACCATCATCAGATAGCCGTCATCAGATTAGACGCAGCTCATTGCTCATCGTACATTGCTCATCGTACGTTGCTCATCGTACGTTGCTGCATCGTGTAAAGCAACTCTTCCAGCCGCTGACCGGCGTATCAATCTTCGTGTACGGCGAGGCTTATAATAAACAATCAATATAGTTGCGTTCTCCTCCAGGACGTAACATAACGACCTATTTTGAAGACTCGTGCGGGATGATAAGAGTGATAACTGGAACAAGAGTATGAATACGCGATTTTCTTCCGACAAAGCTGAGGTGGAAAAGACCTATCACGAAGCAATAAATCGTGCATCGCTTCGTCGACCTTACAATACACAATTACAACAATCCTCACACACCTTCACATCATTCGTACCTCACGATGAACAAGCTGTTCCCACCACATCCTCGGTGACACCTACGGCACTTCCACTTGACGTCTTAACCCCTGTTATAAGGAAAATCTTGAGTGATAGTCTATTGTCCCTTAACTCCTTCGGAATAACTGCCTCACCACTGGGATTAATATTATTCCGGATACCGTAGAAGAGGAACCTATTAAAGAAAATCCAGACTCGCGAGAAAATACTTTTCGCGCTGACCCAACGCAATACGTATCATTCGATAATCTTTTAATTTATTCCGTTTAACCGTTACTGAAAGCACTGTAGAGATAATCGAAAGAAGCCACCGAAAATCTGGACATAGAATCTAACGCGATAACGAAGGGAACCGATGTAGAATCTATTATAAGTAAATATATGAGCGCTAATAACTCTTTCGCCAATTTGCGTTACACCATAGAGGCCATTTCATTCTTGGTTGAACAGAATATAACGTTAGAATATTTTATAGAAGGATGCGAATTAGGGAAATCTATATTGTCACTCGACAGCGAAATCTCTTTAACTAAAATCATTCATACTCGATTAACCGATAAAGCTCGACGTTCGGTACAAAATCAGGATTTTTCATTAATTAATCAGATCAGACAGCATATTTAAAAAAATATACTTTCGGATCTACTAAAAGTCTTTACGAATTGCAAGTAGATTTAGGGCGTGTATATCAATTAGCGTGTAAACAAATAGTATCCTATGCCAATTGTGTGAAAGCTATCGGAAAATGAATTCTATAAGCTTATCGTACTACCGTTAGCGGACTCATAGATCAATCAGTCAGAGCATCGGTAAAAAAGGTGTTACAGCACAGCGGGAACTTACCCTTGTCTCGGTATGCTAGTCACAATAAACCATCGAAAGATCTTGTTTATTTTCGCATTTCTACAGGTTAGATAGGATATTTGTAACGGGCCGAACCGTCGATTCTTGGACCTAACTCTCGAAACTTCTCTAGAAATATTTTATTTTTAAATCTCTAATTTTAATTAAATTTAAATCTCATTCTTTTATTAATAAACTCAACATTTTCCTTTATTCTACGACAAAAAGTTTATGAATGGAATTATTATAAACACATTTTAATATATCATATTTTTTCCTTTTCCTTTCTCGTTGTTTTATTCTAAATTTTTTGTAGTACCATAAATAATTTTAACAATCCTATATAACAATTCAATAATTTTATCAATCCTTGAACATAAACAACCTTTTTACTAGACTAGAAACTAAAGACTGATATTAAATATTTATATACCAATATTTATATATTATAAGAAGTAATTGAGATAGAAATACGATTCAAAAACACAGAGGATAAGTTCCACATAGCAAAGAAGATAATTGAAAAGGATTCATTAAAAATTCCTTATAGTTTAAGATTATAAAATACAGATCAAAGGAATCCAATTACACAAAATATATAAAAAATTTAGAAATATAGGATATAGCAAATATAAATAGAATTGACAATTTCATCACCAAAATGATTAGAAACTACTTTGCCGCATTACCATCGATAGATAATAGCCTGATTTTCCCAATGGCTTACCCAAATCCTAGTTTCTTTGAAAAAACACGCGCCTACATCCCCCCGAATATATTTATCCATCTAGATCAAAAATCCATCAAATATCCATGTATTTATTCATCTAGATCTACGAAAATAAAATATGTGCCACATGCCAAGAAACAGATTAAGCAAAAATTCTTATGAACCCGATATCGTTTTCGCACAAAACATAAATTGCTTAAAATATAATCTAGCTATACCGATGAGATACTATAAAGATAATTATACGAGAAACACCGACAAATACTGGTGGCTGGCAAGCTAAATATTATAGTAAGAGATAGAATTCGCACATAACATACCTGAAGCATCTATTGCTGTCTTTATCCACTGTTCATTAGACACATTGTATATATCGCATCAGCACTATGTTTACCATCATTACAATATTTATTATCTAAAATCATCTTATTTATTACACTATACACAAATATACATATAACCAATGTTTTTACTATAAGTCGTTCTTTTTCACTGGAAATATAAAAAGTTTGTATAGTTATTCCGCATTTTTACCATTTTATTGCTGCACCATGTTGTCCAAATAATTTTTTAAACAATTAAAAATATAATATATGCTCTTTTGACATTATACGTTGTTATTTCACGACTATATTATTATTTTGATTTCATATGCAATGAAAATTTTGACTCATCAAAATTTTTCAGTAATTCAAAAACGCAGAAAAGTATTAACGGTTATACTACGTTAAACACATCACTATTCCCTGAGTTTAATCTGAATTTTTTTCAAGTAAAGTTGTTCCTAAGTGGCACTCTTCTGATTATCACTTGTTATTTTGACAACCGTTTTATTGAGTAGGCAGCGGAATATTTGTTAGCCACATTTCCATTCGTGGAAAACAACATTACATCTAAGGAGGCTTCTTCCAATCCGATGATAGACCGGGAAAAATAAATTCGCATAATTTTCATCTATATTATATAAAGTTAGATTAGTTAGTTTTTTTTCTATTCCAAAATTCAATTAAGGCGTATTTTTAGATCGTGCTAAACGAGAATTATTAAAAAATAAATCCTTTCTTAACCCTAAAAGGATTAAAAAGAGAAGAATTACTCAAGTTCCTTGCCTAATAATAGTAAAAAATAGGAAAAAAAATAATCCATCGAAACCGTTAGATTCTAGAGTCACAAATTTTTTTAAAAATTTGGATATTAATAACCTGCAAATAAAAAGTCTTCGAAGACAAAAACAAGATCAACACGAAGGAATTGTCTATCCAAATGAATCCACTAGCACTGAAACAAAACAAACTGACACAATAAGTTATGATATACCAATATCTAATACATATAAGTTATGATATACCAATATCTAATATATATATAAGTTATGATATACCAATATCTAATATATATAATATTTTAAAGGACACCGAGAATTAAAGAATTCGAATAGAATTACCAATAATAAGACGTTCCTTTCGAATTTGAGAAAGGAACAATAATAAATTACCAAGAGAAGGTAATAGGTAATTATCGATAATAAATCATTGATTCAATCAACAACTTCTATAGATCATCGAACCAATATTTCTAATGAAGTCATAGATAATAGAAACAAATTGACGCCATTTAATATCTTTTACCAAGATCCTAAAGGTATGAGGTCCATGAATCTCATCAAAAGCAAATTAGGTCATGTATATTTTACAATCAAAAGTCTAATAATGTTAAACATATGTTTCAATTAGATTCATTAGAAAATAACAAAAAGACAGAGAAAATATTAACATAAGACAGAGAATTAGCAAACATGGATTTTTATACTTTTACACCAAAAGAAGATAAATTCCCGACTTTTTCATTAAAAGTTTTCAATCATTCTTTTGACGATAAAATTCTATGATGAACTATATTCTTTACAGATACTTTAGCTAAAACTTCAAAAAGTAAGCCGTTTCGCTACAAAAAGATCACTACAACAGGAGGTTGAAAGCGATTCAAACCTGGGATAAAATACGGCCTCAACAACTGATCCAGAGTTCTTATGATTTGGAAATCGCTAGTTTGCGAAGGACGTGCCACTCACGAAGCCCATATCGCCGATTCGACCTAAAGACTCTGTAAGACCGCTGACCTTTTTCAGTAAATCCGGAGGAATCGCCGCAGTCAACAGCCCGACAGCGCCCGATTTGCGACAACTGTTTGCAAATTCTTTTTGGTGAGTTCGTTCCATTTTTGTGAGCCGACTGTTAGCGATATTTGGTGTTCCAGTCGCGAGTTGGAAGACGCATCAAAGAGCGGAAACCCGAATTAGAATATTCGGACGGAAATGCATTAGAGCTTGTTTAGGTAAATAAAGATTTAGTGTGAATATAATTATATAAAATATATAAGTAATAAAAGAATATACGACTTGGCCGACATACCTAGAGTAGTATAATACTGCAATTCTAGATAAAATCGTAAAATTCGTAACTTGTTTTCGTAAGACTCGTAAGAATTTATGAGTAGATCTACAAATTCTATACAGACCATATGTCATATAATAATTCGTAAATCGTTAATCTTACATCGATTAATTCCAACAAAAATAAAAAAAAAACTCTTCTTGAGTATAATCAATATTAAATGTAAAGGACAATAATAGTTAAAGCATGAAGAAAGCATGAGAATGCGCATTCGGAGGTACACGTTTATTAGCTTAACATCTCCCCGGAACTCTACTATCTATTATTGAGATAATTACACCACAGCACCTTAGTACGTGCGATGGAGTGACCAATCTTATAACAAGTTATTGACTAATACCTTCGGTCTTCCAGGGAGAGGTTTCTTTGGCTTAATGACAATTTGTATTTATTTGTGTTGGTGCTTCCGATTCCCGTAAGCAAAATTTGTAGCGACAACTTTTGTAACAACAACCTTTGTTATGCCGATTATTGCGACTTTATGTTTGTGACATTTAAATATAATTCGTCTTTTATTTGTAATCACTGAAGATGGTCTGTGAAGTTAGACCGAAACAGGTTTCATTGTTTGATGATTAATAAATTTCTTCTCATTGTGAGATTGGGTCACTATTTTTTGAATATTATAGTGTTAATAGCACTATTAGACCTGTGCTTTAACTCTTATTGTCCTTTACATTTAATATCGATTAATTCCATTAAATTTCGATTAATTCATTCATTCTTCATAGTAGAGTTTCATTATAAATTTAAATTCGGAAAAATAACACACCCGAATTAGCCCTTTTTTACTGTAAGTTACTTTTCACGTTGGTTTGTACGTGTCATCCGGTTATTCATCCCGATTATAAAATTGTAGCATGCAATGCGAATATTATGCAAGAAGTTACCTGCAATTGAGCGAGGATAAAGGCTAGCTGACTTTTCATCAGAGTCAGGATAAGATAAAGTTAATTTCTAAGTTACTAAAAAATTTATTTTTAAAATTAAAGTTAACCTCTATAGATACAACTTATTTATACCCATTTATAACATTTATATGTATAAAATCGTAATATTAAATTGGCACACACATGCATGTATGTGTCTAATTGTTAAATCGACAATTCTTTGATTTTGCGATATATTTGCATTCGCTTCTTACATTCATAGAACCCGCACGTGCTTCTATTGGACTTCTATTGGAACAAATCTTACATTCAGTGGGTGGTTAGGTCGAAGTATTAAATCACCAATTATCTCCATGTCTTTTAAATAATCGATAGGTTCTACGTAGAAATTGCGCACAAGGGTAGCTATCATGGCTTTCATTTCCAACATAGCGAATCTTTGACCTGTCATGCATAATTTTTTTATTAAAAACTGTTGACATATATAGAGATGTGAACATTACGCTGACTTACCAATACAATTCCGTGGTCCTGCGCTGAACGGCAAGTACGAGTAAGGATGACGACTATGTATTTTTTCAGGTAAAAATCTGTCTGGATCGAATACACTGGGATTCGGCCAGAAATTGGGGTCTCTATGAACGTCGTAGATATTGAGATGCATAATTGTTCCGGCGGGTGCTATATATGAATCTGTAAAGTATATTACATAATTAGCTGTATTTTATAAACGATATTTTGAAAATATTATGTAAATTACTATGTATAAAAAAATCCATCCTATTATTCATGGATATAATTCTGATAATATTAATTATGAAACGTTAAATCTGAAATGTGTTTATATATTTATAAAGATTTATCGCTATTACTGTTTAATTGCACATCTTCCGCAGCGACTCGTGATATAAAATGTACGCTGGGATAGAGCCGCAAGGTTTCTTTCAAACATCTTTCTAAGTACGATAGATCCTGCAAGGACGTCATAGTCAATTTCTCCTCAGATTGTTCCATCACTGTGTTGATCTCCTCCCTGACACGATCCTATATCACCAATTTTCATTAAAATTGCATGCCTCATTACTTTGTGATATTTTTATGTACACGCAAAGAAACAATTTCAACAAATGCCTGTATATTTATATTTATTATTTTATTATAAGGTTGTAATTTATTATTTTATTATAAGGTTGTAATTTATTATTTTATTATAAGATTGTTACTTTTTAATTTCATTCAATTAATTAATTTCAATTTATATTGGGTTGGCCAATAAGTTCGTGCGGTTTTTTACTTATAAATGATCGATGATTATTTTTATAGAAGGTAATAACTATAATCGAATATGTATTGGCCTTTCTTATCTACTATCTTTTGCCATCTTCCGGGCAGCTTCATAATTCCTCGTTCAAAGAACTTCCTGTCTTTCTCTGCAAAAAACTGCTACAAGTGTCGTTTCACAGCTCCCTCAGAAACGAAGTGTTTTCCACTCAAGGAATTCTGAAGGGAGTGAAACAGATGGTGCAATCTGAAGGTGCAATGTCTGGAGAATACGGAGGATGTGGTAAGACATCCCAGTCTAGCGCCCATAATTTTTGCCGGGTTTGTAAAAATGTGAGCGGCCTAGAGTTGTCATGGTGAAAGACGACGCTTTTACGATTCATCACTTCTGGACGCTTCTCGTGGATCGCTGCATTCAATTTATCCAGCTGACTACAGTACACATCTGAATTGATCGTTCCGTCTTGATCTTCGGAAGTAGCTCGTAGAACACCCTTCCAATCCCATCAAATTAAGAGCATGATCTTGCTCGGGTGAAGCTCTACCTTCGAAGTGGTTTGTGGCGGTTCGCTGCGCTGCCCCCACGATCTTTTGCGCTTGATGTTATTGTAGACGATCCATTTTTCGTCACCAGTGATTATATACTTCAGAAATGCTCGCTTCTATCACGTTTTCCGAGTAAATCGCTGATAGAAATGCGTTGGATTAAATGAGCTTCGCTCAGTTCGTGCGGAACCCTAACATAACCAAGTTAACGCAGGTGGTTTTCCATGCTATTTCGATATTTGGAGAACATCTGCAATCTCCCACGTCGAGTAGTGTGGATTGGTGTTGATTACCGTCTTCAATTTGTCGCTGTCGATCTCATTTTGTCGGCCTAAGCGTGGGTTGTTCTGGACAGAAAAATCTCCGCAACGAAATCTCGCAAATCACTTAGGCACACGTGTTTTTTCACAGCATCCTCATATATTGCACAAGTCTTTTTAAAAATTTGAGCTGCGTTTTTGCCTTTTTTAAAATAAAAAGCATAATATGCCGAAAATTCTCATTCTGGTTATCCATTTCCAGATGACGTATATTACACAAAATACACAAAATACGCAATTTTACATGTATTATTTAAATGCACGTTGAAATGTCATCTGTCAATAACTATACGCTTTCAAGTCTTTCGACTGAAGATAAAGTTTAACAGAGCGCCTTGAAACAATTTATCGAGGAAAAGTGCACGGACTTATTGGCCAACCAAATACACGAAAAAATATGCGACTAGTAGTCTCGTAGAATGCTTCTACCGTTTTAATAGAAGTTAATTAACGACTTCATGATTGAACAGGAATAATCAGTTGCTTCTTTGAATTTATATATCGCTTGTCTCTATTAAAAAGTACCTGAACATCCTTGTGCTCAGCTAACAGTAACAAAGTGAAACATATAGCCATTGCTGTCGTATCATGACCCTATAATCAGGTTGTATGTTAGATGCGTATAAAAAGCAATCATTATTGAATTAACGTAACATGTTTGGTTAAAAACGATTTGATTAAATTAAGCATAATTTCTGATTATTATAATGAAATATTGTGGTAGCTAACTAGAACATTTAGGTCTAACAATAGTTAGTTTGGTTACTGCTGATCAAATTATAACATTATAATACTCATTATTATTTTGATGGTTGCTTGGCAAAAAATCAATTACTGAATGTTCAGTGTAAAATAATAAAAATTTTGAATCTTACGTGAAGTGTTTAAAATATCGACCACGAATTTGTAAAGGATTATAAAGTAACCAAATAAAGAAATAAGTTTAGTTAATAGTTTCTTTGGTCAATCGTATGTAAACAAATTTGTCTGATTACCTTACTCAAAAATGTTGTTTGTTCATATTTCAATAAATAATCTAGTTCGTGTCTTTTTTATTCTGATTGATTCTGATTAATTTTGACCAACTTTTTTATATATATTTTCATATAATATAGCAGATTATCGAAAAAATTACACAAATATACATACTTCGAACATGAAGGTATCCACTTCCTCTCTGATATCTAAATCGCTCAAATGATTTTCCTGCGAAACTGCTATTAAAAGATCCAGCATGGCAAGTCGCTTTTTTCGATCTAAATTAAAGAAGAGATCATAAGCTGTAATTGACATCTATCTCTTACATTTGTTATTTACTATTTTCATGTACGGAATTAATATTCAATAAGTACGCAATTAGTAAGCAATGATGGTTTCGTTAAAAACCGAATACAAACAATAAATTCGTTTCTCTTTAGAATATGTAGTTAGAATACTGCGATTATGATTTTACGATATTAGAATGAACTCAAAATATAAAGATACGTACATCCATGTATTTCTACTGTTTCTATCGCATCGTCATTTGCGAAATTATGCAAATATTTATTGCTCGTATGTTGGTGATAAAGTTTTCTTTCCGCTATGATCTAAAAGAAAACATTAATTTATTTTGTGGCACGTGTTATTGCGCTATTTAACTAATATTTAAATATTTTTGTCAGTACTTGTATAGAATATTCGCGTTTAAATTACGCGCACTGAAAAGCTCAATGGATGCTGAGTAACTTGATTTTTACGTACTTTTTCAGTGAATCCGTGCAAATTTTGTAGTATTGTCTTTTGCAGTTTGCTCGCAGAAGTCAACGCAAATATCTTGTCAACAACTAACCAGGCATTCATTAATCTAAATAACATAATTATATAACGACAAGAGAATAAACCTGAGAAAATAATAATATTAGTTTCTACAGAATTACGTAAAATAAATATTTAATAATAAACAAATAAAATTAAAAATTGAATGAGCTAAAAGGCGTACATTTATCATACTTTTTTTCTTTTTCTTTTATCCTTTTTTTCTTGCGCTATAAATTACCCGGCTAATATTAGGATATGATTTTGTGTTATATTCGGCAACACATACAATTTTTTACAATGTTTTTTACAATGTGATTTTTTACAAATATCCAACATTTTAAGAAATTTAAATAACCTCTTTTTGAGACTGCTAGACTTAGTAAATCTTGTAATACATGGGTAGAATATTTGTATGCGTCTTTACCTTAATTATGGCTATTTTTGTTCGTGTTATACACTATTATATAAATTATATTGTTTACCGCAATTATTGATTACCTATAAACACAAAGTTGACCCATTTGACGAACATCCTGTCGATATTTTTTTTGAGCCGCACCGAGATTGTGCAAAGAAGTACCCATTGCAGTTTCTATAAATGCAGCCAGCTCTTAAGAACTGTCTATAATGGGAGTAAAGTATGGCTGTAAGAAGTAAAAGTAAGAAATTGACCATTCACAATCGATTATTCTTCTCATACTCAATTATGATTGGTCAATTTATTTCTCTTACTACTTCCAGCCATACTTTCATCTCTCATTGTAGACTGTTCCTTAGATATATGTTAAGTAAACTCTCTATACACTTATGTAACGAACTCTGTACACTTATGTAACTCTCTATACACTTATGTAACGAAAATGTACAATGATTTACCGCATATTGCGTTTAGCGTGTGTTCAGAAACAAATGGTACTACATCTATTTCAACCGTCCCGCCGATGTTCTTCAATTCGTGTGTCATGCGTTCACTTTCCTCCAATAAAATATCAACAAACTGTCGCAGTATATTGAAATGGAATGCAGGCGTTAATATCTTTCGCCGTGAATGCCACTTGGCACCTAAAACAAAAATGAGATTATGATTGACATTATTTCTCGAAACACTTATAACTGGAATATTATCGTATATCGCATGATAACTCTATGAAATGAGAAAAATAATATCAAATAAAAAAAATAAAAGAACAATATCAATAATCTTCGCATGCAATGGGCAACTTCTACTCTTTCAGTTTATTACTTAATTAAATAACTTTTATATGATATTTAAAATACACGTATTTTGTAAGTTCATAAATGCGAAAAATATTTTCTAACAAGGAATAATTTATTTGTCAGTTTTCTAAATATTGTTCTTTCTTGAATATGCCCATACAGCACAAATGTCCGAAATATATCCCAGAGACATTTCACATCGTCTTTAAGACGTCTCTGGGATGTACTTTGGACATTGGATTTTGTATAGGCAGGCAGTGAAGTGATGTTCCTACAAAGAGGTTAAAGCTTAAAAATCAGATAATATACAGGGTGTTGAAAAAAAAAGGATCACTTATTTTGATAGCAGGTATTGATCAAAACAAGAAGAAAAGATTTTATTAACATGGGTCCTAAGACTAATATCTTCTAAAATACAAGCTATTTTGTTATTTGAGCTATTTGTCATTTTCTTATTAGTCGTATCATTTTTAGAATGTAATGGACAAAGGAATAGGGAGAGTGGGGTACAATGGGGATATCTTTTTTCTAGGTGCCTTACTGACAAACTCTCGTACAGCAACAGTAGTAAACATTCTTTTGTTTACTAAGGCTGCTCACATTCGTTAAGGCCTATGCAATGTCGTTTGACTTGTAGTATCTTTGTTAATTTTTTATTTTTTAAGGCACCTAGAAGAAAGATATCCCCATTGTACCCCACTCTCCCTTACTCCTTTGTTCATTACATTCTAAAGATGACACGGCTAATAAGAAAATGACAAAGAGCTCAAATAACAAAATAGCTTGTATCTTAGAGATATTAGTCTTAGGACTCATGTTAATTAGAACTTTTCTTCTTGTTTTAATCAATATTACCTGCTATCAAAATATGACCCTTTTTTTCAACATCCTGTATATTTCAGCAGTTCATTAATGTAGAAAGTCTTTATTTACGACACATATTTAATTTGTCCGTTTTTAAACATAGTTTACTCTTAAGCACGAGATACAAAGAATGTTTCTCTGTTCCCCAAGAAGTTGCAGCTTAGAAATTATGAATTATATATTTTGTAAGTATATTAATCCGTTAATAATACTGATAAAAGAAATAATGAATTGAATTTTTTTCTTTATGAGTTATCTCTAGAGTATACATTGTTTACATGTTATTACGATAATAAAGGATGGAAGAAAAAAATCAAATCTCTACAAGTTTAAGAACTCACAAATAGCTTCTAATGCTGCAATTATCTTGAATTCCATTATTATAATTTATGAAGTAGGACGCTGAGTGAATGTTTGTTCAGTCTCTCTTCCTTCCCATTTAGAGATAAAAATTCTTGCTCAAAAAAACGAGGTGAAAATTTTAAACTACCAAAGATTAAAAGCTCATAAATAGCTTTTCATTCTGAGCTATTCGTTTTTGTTTTTGATGAGGTAGAGCCGGCTGCCGTTATCGTGTTTAATCATATTCGTTAAAATCCATATCGTTACGTCCATTTTCAATATAAAGCGCACATATACGATTATGATATT